GACACTGAAAATAGTGGGAGCTTGTTTTGATGTAGTTTAATTGTATCAATCCTTTTTCAATCTATTAATAACGTTCATATCAAATTCGATACCTTTACGAGTAAAAATACTTTCATAATCTTTTGCAGTATACTATTTGGCCTTAATAATTAAACTAAAAACAAATTTATTTTGTCAAATATACTATTTTCATGTTTAACTTATTTTTGTTGCTTAAAAATATTTGAAATGTATAATCAAAATATTTCACTTCCTGTCTTGAATAGTAGTTTACTTGAACGTTACAACATCTGTTATTTGAAATATTTTCCTTCCAAATTTTACTGAGCTATGCGTTATAAAACCATGTACAACGACGTGATTGTTTTGATCAAGGGTGACCATTGAATAGCGATGCTTCACTAATAGTTTGTCATTGACATTCAGCTCTTACCTTTGGCATCAGTCCATTCGTCAATACCTTTGATCCCACTACTGATACGCGACGTCTATTGTGTCTCGGCATTCGGTCTCAATTAAAAATAAAAATCCTTCCCTTCGCATCGTGTACTCCTGACACGCATTTTGCTACTCATTCTAATGCGTTAACTAGCCTACACAAGCAAGTAAAACCTCTTCAATCCTCATGATTGAGAATCCGCAGTATAAATCCCTTCTTCCTCATTTTCCTTGTCTATCAAAAGTTCCCAATCATTCCCCCGTTCCTTGAGTTCTGAAAATCTTTAATTCGGACTTGTCACTCACCGTCCAATTTCCGACTGGATGTCGTAATGATCCTTGAACTCCACGCCACGACGTATGGTCACGTCCCGATAAGGAAAGCTCGGCTCGATCTCTGAAAAACACGCAAAAATCTCGCGTTACAAGAAATCCTCGTGATCCATTACAAAATTATTTAGAATACATGATTCTTGACTTCAGGCAGTGTACTTAATTTTATTACATGTGTCAATTTGGAGTTGAATAGTAAAAAAATGAAATATTGAAACTGACAAATAGAGGAGGAAGCTTGGATGCAAGTCAAACTTGCATACTGTGTCGAAATAATTGCAATAAGATGAAAGCACGGTGGGCAATGTTTCCAACGTTCAATGTGAAGGTTATCGAATCATAAAGAGTGACATAAGGAATAATTACATTTCCATACAATCTAAACTTCATTCCCTCATTTCATTGATTCACTTTATATATCAGTAAACAAAACTTGAACCACTATTGGTACAAACAGCATAACGCAATAGCATTAGTGGTAATAGCAAAATGCAAAAAGATTCGTCAAGAATTCATTATTACGATGGCACGCGAACTTCGTCGATAGAGCTGGAAGCTGATCGTGCTGAAACTCGACTCGTTTTTCTTTACAAGCTTTAATTTCCGTCGACGATCGTCCCAGCTCATATTTGCCCGCTAAAATAATCGCGGCGGGCGGTTTATTGCGCGTCGTTTAAACGCAACATCGAATGCCCTGTTAATCGTCTATTTTTTGATGATCCTAGGTTACGAGGGAACGTGGCCAACTTGGTGAATTCTGACATTCAGGAAGCTGCACGGATGTACCGAATTGTCTCGCGTGTAAATTTAGCGATTTTTGTCGTTTGATCGCTAACCGGCTTTAATATTAAACTGCTATGATTCCGCGCGTAGCGTCTGAAACGCAGAAACAATTGTTATTCTTTACTGGAGGAAGCTAGGCGGTTGTTTGTAAAATAAAGGGAAAATATGGAGAAGAAAATCGATAAATTGTTTGTCATTATGTTTAATGTTTATTAACTGAGAAGAATGTTTCTGTAAGATACATCTGACACGAACGATTCTGTCCATCTACCACACAGGTACACAGTTGGTAATGTAATCATTCCTTATGTCATCCCTAATGGCACGACAACCTTCACTTTGAACGTTGAAAACATTGCCCACGTGCTTTCATCCTATTGTAATTAAGTATGCAAGTATGACTTGTATCCAAACATCCTCCTTTATCTCCTAGATTCAATATTTCATTTTTCTACTATTCACATTTTGGAATGTATCTTCTTTTTTCTTTTCGCCCCCTTAATTTTATTCAAACAACCACAGATTTCAAGAACGCAAAAATTTGTTCCTATAAAAATCCAGTGGACCGTTTAAAAAAATTAACAAATAAAGACCATTTCTTCATAATAGCTACACCCCACTGTGTTTACCTAAACAGTGAACTTGTATCCTAATATCTTTAACGAACTACCCCCGATTAAATTAAAAAATAATAGTAATAATCGGACAATAATGGTGAAATTAGCAGCAAAGATCGTCAGAATCTGAAAATCGTCGAAACAATGTTTGAAATGATCTCGTCCCTTCGTGGACACGACGAGAGTGTCGTTCGGCGTCGACCGCGACCTCATTTCACCCTTTTGTATGAGACAGCTGGTGCGAAGAACGGCGACCTCCAGTCGCGCAGACGAAAGAGAAACCTCCTCCGGAGTTCATCGGAACCGATCGCGAGATATTTAAACGCCGGGCGGCGGTGTTCTTTCATCGCCCCAAATTCCACTGAATCACTGCATTTATTTAAAGAAGAATCACGATCTAAACACTGCACCACACCCCCGCGTCGAAAAAACGAAATCAACAGAAACCGTGGACAGCTGAAAACCTCCAACTCGATCGGAACAGGTGAATCGAGTGTCTCACATATTAGCCCTTATCCCCTTTAGTCCCTTTTAAAATTCGCGATCTGGTGATGATGAAGATGAAATGAGGTCTCCCTTGGATCACCCTTTTCTCTTCTGCAAGCTTTGTGGCGCCTCTAAACTCAAAAAGGTTGAAAACCATCGCAACTTCTTCGACAGTCCCAAAACGAAATTAATTCGCCATAGTGTTACTCCGTCGAGAAATACGAATAATCTATAAGAAAATTCACAGCTTGGTAACCAATGCTCTTCTTCACAACCCCCTAAACCAAAAACCAACAAATCTACACTATCACAACTACTTCGTCTATTTCTAAAAAAATTATTCGTCATGGAGGTGCACGTAAAACTCTAAGTAATCGGTAAGGAAATGCACTCCTTGATACCAAGTGCTCCAACAATCCTTCTCCCTTCCACAAGTCCCTAAATCCAAAAAGCTAACAAACCAACAAATCTGCGCTATCACAGCTACTTCACCTGGCCCTACAGAAACTGAATTCTCCACAGAAATTCGAAATCTAAATAATCGGTAAGAAGGTCCACAGCAATGACTCCGTTGCCAGAAGTCCCTCTCACTTACCGCCCACGGGGTCAGTCTCGTCCACGCGTATCATCCTCCCCTGGTTGCCACCCTCTGGTGCCACGAGGGACGTGAGTTGCGTTCTCCGGTCGTTGCACGCGGCCCACGATCGCGGTCTCTCGGCCGAACCGATCCGATGTACCCCAAAGGCAATTATTGACTATCGCGTCTGCGGTCTCGGACGGCCGAGTCCCCGGTGGCCGACGTCGGGTGCCTCTTCTTCTCGGCTCGGACGGATTTAGATTTTCGGCGTCGCGGATTCTGCTGGCCGGGTCACGTGGCCAGTGGCGTTCCACGTTCGCGTCTCCTAAGTCCCCCCACCCCCTGATGCCCCGCGTGCAACCAACCTTCGATCTGCTTCGGTTTCTTCTGACGCTTTTCCACCGTCTCTCCATGGATGGCCTCGATATCGACCATGGATCGACGACATGCTCGCTTCGAGCTGACTTTCGAGGACCTCCACACAACTCGAGGATCCCTCGACGCGTGGTTGAGAACCACGTGGACGCCCAGCGTCGCGACTATTGAGGTTTTAGGGTGAACCAGTTTTAACGCTCGAGCATAGTGGTCCAGAACGGTCTGTTTTTAGGGGGAGTCCAAAATCAGGGAAACTTAAAGTGGTCGAGCTTCGAGCGGGTCACATCTTGATGATTTGTTTGGGGTGTCGGAAATTTGTTTTGTTTTGTTTGTATTTATATTAATTGCGTGTAATATAGCACTAATATAGCATCAATATATAGCATAAAGCATTCTGTGTTTTTCATGTATGTTAATTTAAACTTTTAGCTGAGATTAATATACATTGCAATATATACCAGGTCTGAAAGGGTTATAATCTTACAATGTAACATTTATTCTTATTTCTAAAGATCTTGTTACAAGTTCGCAGCCATTACCTCAAAGGATTCTTTGTCGCTTCTACTAAAAATGCGAACTAAAATATATTTACGATTATTCGATCGAAGTGACTAATTAAATATTACAGAGTACTTCGATCCACGTAATTTCCAACCATGTTCGATATTCTACGTGCACGCTAAAATCCAGTGACTGCGTTTATTTTTAATTTTAAGTCTCCACCTTCGACATTCGCTGACTTGCTTTTGGCAACGTGTAGACAATTTGTTTAAACGTCGCATTCCTTCTGCATTCATTCGTGAACTTTTCGAACACAAGAGATACCAAAACTTGCTACGATTGGATCGATTTAAAACGAAGTAACGTTTCATAAAGATAATTATCTTTTTCTCGTTTATAATAATTGGCATACTTACAAATGGCAACAGTATAACAACTTCCTCATTTTTATATGTTTTCAATCTTGCAAGTTGTAACGTCACAAAGAAAGTTTTTGGAAAGTAAATTATTTCTTAAATCCTTGGGGTTGGGTGGATCACATCATCATTGGGTGGCACACCTCCTGCATAGCTTTAATATTTTATTTAAAGCTTTTATTCGATTGACAATGCTGTGAACACACAAAGAATTAAATATTGTCAACATAAAAATTCTTGAACTGCTATCAACTGGTAGCGATTAGACATATAATTCAATTCAAGAATATTTTTTGTATTTGTACAACATTTATATAATATTTATATAATAATTCGTAATCCACATAATGATGAAAGTGTTTTGGTTGTCTCACGATTAGCAAAAAAATTGATTTCGATTTATAACGACTATCGGTACAAACACTTTCTGCGTAATTTCAACATCGCCAACGAAACATGTAGGTATTGCAGTTTTGTATTCGCATGCATGTAACACGAAAGCACCGTTAGTTTTTAACTCTTTGTGGTCCAATTTTTCTGATTTAAGTACATTTTTGTCGAGCCGCGTTCAACATTGGACCGCAAAGGGTTAACAGAGGATTGATCAACGAATTTGTCTATGTAATATAAAATGACTATTTATATCAGTCACGGCTGACTTTATTATGAATGAATTTGAGTTACAGTTAAACGCTTGCTACAAAAAGGTAGCGATTAATACTAGAAACGAAACGTGGGACGAAACATAATAAACATTATAAACAGAAAGTAGTATGGAATACGTGTATATTCTAACAGAATCAAAATGCTACTGGAAAACATAACCTTAAAATTGTAATTTCTATTAGTTCGATAATATTGTGAGCTAGTGTTCAAAATTACAAAAATGGCAGGTAGCATGAGACAATTAGAGGAACGACAACTTCCAGCTGAAGTAACGAAAATGCAGTGGTCACCAAAAATGGATCTCCTAGCAATTGCTAATGTAAAAGGTTAGATCTCTAAAACAGTAAACAACACGTTTTGTGTCTGATAGATTCTTGTCAAATCCACGTATGTTTTACACACTTCTTTTTAACTACTTATACTTTAAACAAAATTCTGAAAACATGTCATTGATAAACCCAACAGATTAAATTTGTATCTTATGCTTGGTTTGTCACTCTTATTTGATACATATACAGAAACATGTACACTGGAGATAAACAACTATTTTCAATTCCTGAAATACCAAGATGTATGACAATATGAATTGTCTTGTTCAATTGTTATAGGAGAAGTTACACTTCATAGATTAACATGGCAAAGAGTTTGGTTGTTAAGTCCGCAAGAGGAATCCGATACTGTAGTGAACTTAGCATGGAGACCAGATGGGAAACTTCTTGCTGTTTGTTATGAAGCTTCCAAAGTAGTATGTCTTGTAGATATAGAAAACAAAAATATTATTCACAAAACAAAAATTAGTTTGCACAATGGAATCACGTGCATAACATGGTTGCCATTGACGAATTTAGAAAATGATAGTCAGTTAGGTAGTAGTAAAACAAATATGTCACCTGTGGGAGAATATCTTCCACCTTTGCCAAGTTTAAATAGAAGTTTTGGTCAAGAACCTGAACGCAAAGAATTCTTACCTCAAAATTTAGATATACTTTTTGTAGGTATTCTTTAAAATAAGTACATCAATTTTACAAAATATTATCTATATAGTTATTATAAATAATTGTCTTTCTAGCTTGGTTTAGACAATGGAAATGTTGCAATGTATGTGTTTGGAATGTTCTACTGTGGCACAATTACAGTTGGTCATGGTCGAATATTAGAAATTAGTGGTGGATTTGGTAAACCAATGTGGATCAGTTGGAAAGATAGTAGTGGTATTAAAGTAAACAGATTATGGTGTCAGTTGCTAGAACAAAACACAGCATTCCTAAAGGTCCTTGCATAATCAAATTTATTATGTTACTTTTAAATGTGATAGAATATCTACAAATTCTTTATTTGAATCTAAGGTAGCACAAGCTCAAGCTAATATAGAATATTTGATGGATTATCTTTCGCGTACGTTAATGGCAATTTCCGAAGCATGGGAAACAATTCTCTTGGAAATGGATGAAAAGCTTGCACGATACGCGGAAACAAATCCACCTGGTGGAGTTGCTGCAGATTTCTTAGAGCTGTTAATGATTGGCATACCAACTCAAAACTTGGAAAATTTTCTATTGCGAGATTTAACTGAGAAAGGATTAAAAAAATTGGGGCATAGTATTGAAATGTGTTACAGTAATATACAGGTACAGAATGGACCTTTAATTTTTGAAAATTGTAATATGTCATACCAATCAAATGTTGTCTTACAGAAATTAGTCTTAAAAAATTTAACTAGCGTTGGAATGGCGTTAGTTTATCAATTAGCTGAAATGAGGGGAATGGTGAGACTGGGTGGTCCATATGAGTTATTGGGACTTACAAATGAAAATGTAATAACTAATGCTCTTCATGCATCAGAAGCTTTTCTAGCAAAATCTTCCGAAATTCAACAAGTCATAGATCACAGTATGCGCGATTATAAAGCATTCTTCCGGTATGTTCCAATAACAAAATATGATATGGATGTCGTTACTATTTGAACCTTTTTGTATTTAAGGTGGTTATATGTCGTAATTCTAAGATTAACCGATGAAAGAATACCATCTGAAGTAAGTCGGGTCAGTCAACAAGAATTAACATTTATTGCCGAATTTTTGCGTGGTTTTGACAAAACTGAACCAAGTGCTGGAGGTAGAAAAGGAGTAAATTTAGAAAAATTGGGCCAGTATTTACGACGCGAAAATTTGCAAACTTGCTTAACTCCCGAAGGAAGCGAATGGGCAGCTATGCTCGATGAAAATCATTGTCTCCGCGATCATCCGCTTATCGTGAAGCAAGATCTTAATTTTTCATTATTGCAGTCTCATGCAAAGTTAATATCGGCTATACATAATGTTTTTGGAGAGGCTTATCAAGGCTTGGTTGATCAGTTCACTGTATCAAGTATTGCCTTGGCACCATCTGTGGCATTTACATCATCCCAAATTGTAACAAGCGACGATGGTCTACTAGTAGCTACATGTGATGTCGATCATAAAATATTACGACTTTTTAAAGTTGAATGTTTATCTGTCGAACCTGTGTCGCTTAACTTTAGATTGGGTACAATTAATGTAGATTACAGATCAGGTTGGTTCATTATAAATATATACATAATAATTTAATTTATGAAATTAAAGACAACATAAAATTTTATTTAACAGAATCTTATTCAAAAGTTTACATGGATGGTACTGTAGTTGATCTACAGTTTTATTCTCAGGAGTACATTAGCTTACTGTTGCTCAACAAACATAACCATACATCATATCTTGTACAGTTACCGGTGAACCATTCTCGAATTTTTGACAATCAAGATAAGAATGCAATTACTTTAGCTGACCTTTTAGGCAATAGCTGGCCACGACCTTTTCAAGGTATTTCTGCTAGGCGACTAGCAGTTAGTGGTGCAAGAAAAGTAGCCGCTGTTTTAAGCGAAAGTAATAGAAAAATAAGGTTATTAGAAACTGAAGTCGAACCTGAAGAAGAGGAAGATGAAGAAGATGAAGAAGATGGAACTCATGATAGTGTATTAGATACTACGCATGGAACAGCGGCAAATATTTCTCAATGAACTTATGTACATAAAAGACGTTCGAAATATAGTGTAAAATAATGTTATTATTTTATACTTGTTAAAATAATTAACATTTAACTAAAATATTGAATCATTATTTATACATTATATGCAAGTATTAGTTACGAAATGTTTATATACCTTTAATGGCTAAATTGAAAGCCCAATATATGCATGTGTACATAAACGATTTATGATTTTATACATCTTGTAAATAAAATTTTTTATAATCTACTATAAAAAAAATTGCTTTATACAGTATATCACAATGTAGTTCGTTATTTCTGCATTTGTCTTAATACTCTAGGGAAATCAATATCAAGAGCTGCATTGTCAATGCCACCTTCTTCAACTATTGGTATAGGTAGTGTAGGAGCAGCACTAACACGCGTTGTGTATTTTGCTGGCGAATTTTCCCTTGATTCTTCGAAATCTGTAATAATGATTTCAAATCAATTAAATATATTAATATAATTTTGAATTTTTTTAACTACATTAAAATAGTTACGTATACATACCGAAAAATCTGCGACTCCTTTTCCTTTTTGTTGTGATAACAAAAAGAACAATTGCTACTGCAACAACTACTACCATAGTAGCTGCCATACCTCGTAACAAATTTGTCTATAAAAAAAAAACGATGTATTTAAAGTAATAGATTCCTTAGACAAAAAAAAAATTTGAGTATACCTCAAAATCATTTTCCCAAACATCTTCCCAATCTTTCTTAACAATTAATTCAACCTTATGAATGTTTATAGAAGAGTGATTTGATATGCCTTTTGAGATGCACTTATAGAAACCAGATTCAGCTGTTGATACACCCTGTCAAAAAAGCCATAATAGATTAAAATGAAGACCATGTTACACATAGAACTGCCTTTATTCATGACCTAATAAATTTTAATTACCCTAATAAAAAGTTTTCCAGTTAACACTTCATAGTTATATTTGTTTTCATCCATCTCATTACCAGGCCCAATAATGCGTCTATCGTCCGTAAGTTGCCAAAACATAAAACGATGATCATCATCACTGCTTAAACATGGAAGTTCAGCCAAATGACCAACTGGAACCTCTGTTACTGTAATTGTGCTACCAACAAATCTATTTATCAATAGTAGCAGTGATAAATAGAAGAACGAAAAAGATGTCAAACTCATCTGTAAAATAAAATCGATGTTTTAATGTTTAAATATAGCTTAACTTCACTACACACTTTGTACATTCATCACGTTTTCACTCATACAAATTACATATTTGATTGAACAAAATTAAAATTACAACAAAAATACAAACGCACTGTACAATTGTCTCACAGAACTCTTTCTGCTACCAACTATGCTAGCGAAGTGTCTTGTGTTGTTAGGGCATCAATTATATTCTAAGTTTACCTTTACAGTACCAATTTTAGTACCATAGAACCGGTTTTAATATGACAGATGGTTGAAAGAACAATTATTCTATGCACAATGAAAACAGAAGTCACTTGTCAATGAATCATGTTGCATAACTATGAAGGTAACTGTGTACAGTCTCTTACTGTTTTTATATTATACTTCAATATTTAAATGCACTAGTATAATCTAATCATAAACATGAAAATCACTGTTTGTGAATGATGACAGTCTTATGAACTGATGAGAAAGCTTCGATAATGAAGCTGCTGAGAGTTACTTATTTATATCTTTGTCCTATTCATCCTTGTGCAACAGAGTATTTATAGTAAGCTAGACTGGCATCTTGTGACTACTATACCATCTGAAAGTACACTACATATTTCTTCATTTTAACTATCGAAGAAACATTGATATGTAAGGTAAAACCCAATGCCAAGGTAGTATTCACATACATTCACTCTTTTAATTGCTATACAATATATGTACATGTGTGAGTGACAAGACATACAAGAATATTACAGTTACATTTTCAAATGTATTTTTAAATTGTAAATCAGCCAGCCTTAAATATTTTTATAAATAAAGTATTTAAATTAGAATGTTTTTTAGCTATGTAGACAATATAAATTGCTATAGACAAAACAAATCATGATAAATTATATATTATACATAACAACTTACAGAACTAATTTTCATGTAAAAGTAGATTTATATAAAATATGGTAAACACTGCAGACATCATAGAATTTTTTAATCAAATGTAAGACTGATGCTGTTGTATCAAATACATAAAAACAACAACTGCCAATGCTGGAAGAAGAATCCAAAATGGTGCAAGTACAACTTTTGCTGGTAGAAACCAATGAGGTGCTTCCAATTTTAAGCATATCAAAATTTGAGCACTTAATTTCAAAAACACAGCTATCATGTACCACACCTAAAAAAAGATTAACTTTAACTTTCATAAAATAAAATCAATACCTAGTTTCATCAGTTTACTATATTAAATAGTCAGAAGTTTTAACTGTGCATGTTACAGTGGAAATTTATCAATTATAATTTATTTTGAATTATTTAAAAGAAATTACATGATCTTTTTTAAGTCCTTTTCTTTCAATGAATACAAAAGAAAGTGTAATATTATACTTTCAGTTGATTATGTCAAGAAAATAACATGCAACAAATTAAGGCATACAATTTATTAAAAAGTTTATTCATTGTCAATTTTATTCGTAAATTAATTAACAGGAAAATCAACATTTTATACAGTTAAGAGTAAAAAGATTAAACAACAAATTAATTCATAATGAAACGAAGGTATTTGTATCAAGAAATAAATTCAACATTTTTTTTTTATTTTATTATTCGCATATAACTTACTTCCCGATGTAAAAGATTAATGCGTCCGCTTTTATAGTGAGAAATCATATTGAAAACTATGTAAATGAGAAGAATATGGTCGTACAACCACATTGGAATGAGAACAATGAACCAATTCCATTGTATCCTCTGATCGAGTCTCAAGTCGAGTAGAATCAGTAAAATTAACAAATTGAACCATGTAAATAATGCACGATGCACAACAGCCATTGAAACATGAAATTAAGTGCGTAAAAAATCACGAGACAAAACGTGATCGCAAAACTATACGATCATGTTGCACATTTGCCGATCTGTTTACATCAACACTTGATATACCTAACCTCTACTACCGACTAACCTGGACTAACCTATAAGATATAACACATTGAAGATGTCGCTACTTGCTGATGAAATAGAAGTTTAGGGTTAGGTTGTAAAACAGTTGTCGATAAATGCCATAAAAATTTTATTTATTTTTCTTCTGTACTCTGTGAGTATAGATGTTAAATAAAAAAAAAAAATATTACGCAAGCGTCATGCATGATGCATTTAAACACAACATAACTGGATGATCAAATATATAGGAGAAACGAGAATATTAGATTGCTGAATTTAATGGGAATTAAATGTGCTATATAATTAGATAAATAACACTTCTTTATTTACGTTATGTTATTATTAATAAAAGGACAATCCATGCTCGTTTTTCTGAATGTATTGGCTGAATTTTTTCTTTGTTTTATACTGAAAGTCAGACTAATTGTCATGAGGGTCCTGTTTACATTCAGCAAATAATACGTTTGCTTCTTTTATACAGAGATTAGCATCACTCCTATCATTCTGATTGAAAACGCATTTACATAGTTATTGTTTTATTTACAATATTTGCATAAAGCTATAATATTCGAATGCTTTGTATTTATCATAATCTTTACATAAGATCTTATATAAGATAATTATCAATCTTACGTAAGACCACTAGTAAAAGTACAACAAAGTACGCTAGCTGTAATCTGTAATCGACCTTCTTGTGGTGTAATTATTTCATCACCCGATAGAAAAAACGCAAAGTCAAACTCATATGTGTTGATAAGTATCAACTCTTACGATCGTCCAGTCAAGCAACAGTTCCAGAGACGGCTGTTTGTTACGATTTTTCTGTGATAGAATTTACATAAAAAGTTTATCTAGTTAATGATTAAGAAATTATGAAAATATTCAAATCCTTGAATAAAAAACTATAACGTAGTGCAACGTTCTTGATATTCGTAAAAATAATAGTGTAAACATTATAATAAATATTATGTCTAAGTCGATGAACAATTCGATGTCGTCGGAAGAATCGCACGTGCGTATACTTATAAAACTACTCATAAAATTTAATAACTGTTACGTATCGAGCTCCATGTACGTATACATAGAATATCTGAAGCCGTATTTCAGTTCTAAATAACTTAAAACTATTCATGAGATATCTGCTTTTTTTATCGTTTAGTCAATGACAAATGCATACCGGGTGCCCTGGAAATTCGTATTATTTTGAAACTTAGAATACGTTTTAATTAAACTGTTTTATGAACGTTTATATAAAAATAGTAATTTTGCAAACATTTACATCAATTTAAAAATCTTTCTTAATGAAAGCATAAAGTCTGTAGTTTATTCAGATCAAAATTAAAGGAACATTAATATACGATAATGGGAAGCAAATTTAATCCTTTCTTTTGGTGAATGATCTCATGACTATTTAAAAGAGGTATGTGATTCAACGAGTATACACTAATCGTTGTAGTCAACGGAAGTGGCATTTTTATTGCTACAATGGAAGTGTTAATTTCGTGCAGTGATAATTATTAATCACTATTGATTAAAATTATTATATATAAATAGTGTATACACAAATATTAAATAAAAATGTACAAAGAAGAGGGGGAATTCACTTCTTTAGATTCAATATCAGTGTTAACAAACGAACGATGTTAAAAAATGTTTGGAGAAATACATTTGCAGCATAAATGTTCGTTTTTGAAAGTTTAATTTTTAGAAATTCATTATTTTGTAAATCTTGTAAAAAATTATCGTGTAAATAGAGGATTAGATTAGAGGATTAGATGTATGCTTATCTACATATAAGTAATACGACTATGCAGTGTACAAATGATTAAGCGAGTGGTAATATGTTTTATAGGTGTACAATGATCCCGGATAAATGTGCAAAGTTCTTTGTGCGATTTCATTGTATTATTTGTGCGTAGGACTCATTTATCCCGTGTATGTAATACCTCCGGTAATATAGCTATAAATACGTCCGAATAGTAGACTGTTCTTAGACCGAGGGAAGCAAGATCTATTTTAAAGGGTAGCGCCCCGTATCTGACCCCATGTAGAAGCCGGTGATATCTCGAGGCGTGAACATAAAAATTTTCTCTACATCAATAACAAGTCGAAGGGATTTCAATAAGTGCGCAGTCTTGGGATTGGTACCCGTTCTTCCTGCAAAATATTTCTTTTTCATTTACCCCCACTGTTTCGCCGTACGGTTACGACCTTAGCCTCGTTCTATCCATTCTTTCGCGAAGGTCCTAACCACGTGCGATTTAAGTTACGATGCCAACCTTACGTTCACTGGTAAGTCCGTTTAAATGGTAAAGAAAATTTTCCAACGACGCTAGATTTCTTAAATTAACCCTTTCGATCTCGAGGGATTGTCGTCTGCTAGGGGTTGATGAATAACCTCCTCGAGAATTCTCATACGCTATGAATTATTATTTTACATCGTATAGAAATTTTATTAAATCTTGCAGGAGTAGTTGTAACAGAGATCGTAGTATTATTTCATAAGCCGACATGTATGCCTCATTTAATTTTACGATTCATGAACCTTTTCTGAATGCTAAATTTGTCAGAAAACTGTCAAGTTTTGGTCCCTTTGTTATCGTTTATTCAACTTTTATTAATAGTCACATTCGATATCATAGGTCAACAGATCAAAAAGATAGTCATAAGACATAAATATTACACATCATTTTATACCAGATTAATTTTGAATGTAAATTAATCAAATTATTAATTTTTTTTCTCAGGTTTTACCAGTGCTGGCTGCTGTGGGAACTGTTGTTGTAATAGGATTAACAATAAAAATTTATAAATCTTGGTGTTGCGATAAGAAAAAGAAATCTCCAGTTTTACTGGCTGACCCAGTTGTTAAATATAGTTTGCCCTTAATTGAAAAAGAAGTAATAAGCCATGATACAAGAAAGTTCACATTTGGTTTACCAACACCAGAACATGTCCTGGGATTACCAGTTGGTCAACATGTACATTTAACAGCTAAGATTGATGGAGAAGTTGTTATACGATCTTACACACCTGTTTCAAGCGACGATGATCACGGTCATGTAGATTTGGTTATTAAAGTAAGTAGACAAAGTAGCATAAAGTAATAAATCTATATCATTGCATGGAAATTAAAATTAAAAATTTGTGTTTAAGGTATATTTCAAAAATGTACATCCAAAGTTCCCTGAGGGAGGAAAATTATCTCAATATTTAGAAAATTTGAATATTGGAGATACCGTTGATTTTAGAGGGCCATCTGGTCGACTAATTTATAAAGGTCAAGGAAAGTTTTCTATAAAAATTTTAAGGAAAGACCCACCTGCAGAATATAATGTTAAAAAGGTATTTATAGCGTTAATCTATGTTTGTAATTGTATTTTACAAACAGTTAATAATCTTCAATTATTTCATTAAAATGCAAAATATAGGTATATTTTTTATGTTAACATAGGTTGTAATGATAGCTGGTGGTACAGGAATTACGCCAATGCTACAATTAATTCGCGCTATGGTAAAGGATGCCAAGGATGAAACTCAATGTTCTTTACTTTTCGCTAACCAAACGGAAAAAGACATACTACTTCGCGACGAAATAGATAATATTGCCAAGACTCATCCTAACAAATTGAAAGTTTGGTATACAATAGACACCAGTGGTGAAAATTGGCCTTACAGTACAGGTCACATAAATGCAGAAATGATAGAGAAGCATATGTTTCCTCCATCACCTGATACAATCGTTCTTATGTGCGGTCCACCGCCGATGATTAATTTCGCTTGTAATCCTAACCTCGATAAACTTGGATACGATCAAAAATTACGATTTGCATATTAAAATAACAATTTCTTGTTGCGCTGAAATTGTAGGATGGATTCATTTTGATAGTATAATCTCTCATTAAATAACAACACGTGAACCTCTTCGTAAAGACAGCATTTTATAATTTTATTTGTATAAATTATGTACTAGACATGCAGCAGCAGTTTGAAACTTCTATATGTGCAGTACCAGTTACATACTAAGTGTAGCACTTATGAAAACATTAGTATTCATTTCGGTTACTAAAATTTGTTAAAAAAATGTTTAACTTGTAATTAACATTCAAGTTAATATAAAAAAAAAGGTAATATTTAGTTGTTCATATGAAAATAATTATTCATTACAGAGTAGAAACAGTAATATTTTATAATTATGTATTTCTTATAAATGCGGTTGTTAATTGTTTTTAATTAAATTTTTTAATTTTTTATAAAATACATCGCCAGTGCAGAGCTTTAGTGAGAAACAGTATACAGGTTAAAAGCATTTATTGATGTTAAACCTATTGTATTGTTATAAAAAAATGATCACAAGTTGTTCCGATTGTTTTACAAATTCCTTCCATACTTCCCTTTCAGTTGATGTAAGATTTGTAGTACAAAATGACAGTATGTATTGATACCAATTAATATTTATATTTATTAACAAAACCGTTGATTCTCGAAGCAAAGTTGTTGATAATCTAATTAATTTGTATTACAAAGAAAGCGGTGCAAACAAAAGTAAAGCAATGAAAGAGCCGTAATGGTCGTAATTAACAACGTCCACGATCCTTCACGCGCTTCCTGGGAGCCGCTCGCAGGATATTATCCACGCGTAAAATCATTTCTGCTGCTTCTGCCGCGCTAACTAAAACTTGCCTCTTTACAACCCAAGACTCTGTTATACGCAATTCTTTCATGCATCCCACTTTTCCTTCCTCCATATCTATTAAAATAACAATCGAAATATTATTTACGATTTAATATTAAAGTACTAATTATATTTATAATTTACGAACGTACCAAGACCCATTGTATTCGCGCCCGAATTGTGCGCAGCTCGTAGTTCACTGATGAGCTGAGCTGAATCGTAACCAGCATTATCAGCAATAACGGTAGGTAATTGCTGCAGAGCTCGAGCAAAAGATTCCATCGCTACTGCTTCTTTCCCAGGAGTAGCTGCCGCTGCACGCATGACAGCACAAGCCATTATCATCTCACTGCAGCCACCACCATAAACAATTTTGGATTCGCGTACTGTAGCTGCCAATACGCAAAGAGCATCATGCAAAGATCTTTCTGCTTCGTCAAGGATTTGTTGCGTGGCTCCTCTGATTACTATTGTGCAAGCTTCTCCTAAAGGAACTCCACAGAATTTCAACAGCTTGTCTTCGCCTATCATTACCTGTAGAAACATTGTTTTGTGAAAACGATACATAATTTTAGTTAAATTTAAAAACATACCGATTTGATGAGATCACATTTGCCAAGTTTTACAGAGCTAGGGTCGTCGAAAGTGCTAACTATGTCTCCACCAGTGACAAGAGCAAGTCTTTCGATACCATCGAAATCGGCATGCTCGATGGCCATAATATTAGCATCAGCAAACAATTGTTCTGGATAATTATAAATTAACTGTCTGTTAATAAAAACGTTACAGCCGTGTTTTATGATCTTTTCAACTTTATCCTGAATAGAATATAATTATTAGATATATGTAGGAAATCAAACATAGAGTTTATAATTCATAATAACAATTTACATAATTACCTTCATCTTCTCTTTTTCAGCTGCTTCTAATTCTGCAATTTTCGCCATTGAATCAACTCGAACTCTAGATCCAAATACCTGCAAATCATTGTATATGTGATTATTGTTGAATGTAAGTATTATTATCGTAAATTCGTCCGGTATAATTTCATTACTTTAATTTTATCTGTATCCATAGGAGTGTTAGCTATGAGTATGCGAGCATCGCGCATTACTTCCGGCTGATTTACACCAGGTTTCTTGTCCAGCAAAAATCCATCATCAAGGAAAGAAGAGTTCAAAGTTCCTCCACGTTTTTTTATCACTTGAATAGCTGACAAATTGCCAGATCCTTTAAGACGTAATACAGCATCCACAGCAAGCTTACTAAAGTGTTCTTTATATTGGGACAAAATTTTTGAGCTCAAAGTTGTACATGCGATATTTAATAGATCCTCCTGGAACTGCTGCTGATCTGCAGAGTTATCGATTGCAGCATTTCTTAAGGCCTCTCGTGCCACTTCAGTTGCTTTCCTCCAACCAGCAATTATAGTTTGCGGATGAATCTTTTGCTCAATTAATTTCTCTGCTTCTCTTAATAATTCAGCAGCTAGAACAGAAAATAATATTTTTAAATGCTTCATTTGATATTAGATGTCAATAATTGGCTATATTGTAGTTGATAAAAATGTGAAATTTATATTAAAAGTATCATAGATATTTGTTGAATTAAAATATACAAACCAAGGACAGTTACAGATGTAGTGCCATCTCCAACTTCATCATCTTGCACGCGAGACATATCTACCAAAATTTTAGCAGCAGGATTGTCCACACCAACACTTTTCAGAATAGTTGCTCCATCATTGGTCACTTGAACCTGTCCCGCGGACCGACCATGAGCCACCAATAACTTATCCATGCCTTTTGGTCCAAGAGTGGACTTGACTAAATCACCAATGGCTATTGCTCCTACAAATAAACTTAGCCTGGCAATTTCTGCCTTTTCTTCTTCCGCTTCATTCTTGAAGATCCTAACAGGATTCAAGGAAACCTACAAATTCATATTTAAATTCCTGTAATTTGGGCTCCTAGCAATCATGGTAAGAATTTGTCGTATATACTAATCGCATTAAAATATTTCATTGATTGCATTTCCTTCTTTGTATTGTTTAATAGCGCAACGTAATGCTGGAAATGCTCGTTCGATGCAGTGATTAATATACAAGAAATTTATACGCTAGCAAATTTATTTAGGTTGCAGAAACATGATTTGATGATATGATTTTGAATGAGTACATTGATATTAAGTTATTAATATAAAAACCATTTAATTGACACACGTGCGCCATTTGTCACACCTTCGTATACGAAACCGGGCAGTGAAATATATACCAATTTCGCATGCTATACTAATTTCTGATGGTACCGCGGCAATATCATTTTACTATAAACACGAGAATATTAAAATCGATTAATTACCATTTTGAATCACTGTTGAAACGATTGATCAATTTATAATGGAATAACTTTACTTCAACTCCACAGGAAAGCACAATTACAAGGAATTATCGTTCTCAAGATGGCGCTTCTACTTGAAACTTCAAGCGTATTCTGTTCTATGTGTTTTCCGTTGTAAACATTTCTGATTGGCTGTTGAGAACGATGCCAACTATACGAGACGAATCAGGGAGATACTGGGGAAAAGAAAGTGCCCACTCATAATCGAGGTACAATGGAAACCACCGAGAATATTCTTTTACGTTGAGTAACTGTAGATGGCGCATGACTTCGACGCACGATTCCGAATTTAATACCTTTTAAGGTTCGTGAAAGATATAACGAGATGAATTGAAATATAAATGTTTCTTTTTAGCAAAATTAGAAGACATATTTTTAAAAACATTGTATAGAATTAGAATGGTATATTAGAAATTTGTTTGATAATACATTCGTCAGTTTTGTCTGATTTTTTGCAAAACATATATGTTAATTTGATTTAACAATTCATTTTTTCTTTAGTCTACAATCCAAACAGTAATTTTTATTCGAAAATTGATATTCATTAGAAATATTTAAAAAATATTCAGATCGTAGTTTCCATAATGTGGCGCATATGTTATATGTATTCAAAGTTGAAAGCAATTTTTTTTAAATTGTACTAGATACAATATTTGTGATTGAGAGTACTACGCGTTAAAATTACATAATACTTCCTCCTGTCTATCTGTACACGGATATCAAGTTACTTGGGCGTTAAATTCACTCGAGAGCGCGTTGCATTATAAAAGTTTGTCAATATCGTTATCGCGACTGGGTGTACAGCGTGTTGCCAGCTGTCTAGCTCGATTATACACACTTTCCATTCGTGATGACATTTTACGAGGCCCACAATTTCATACAACTTGTTATAAAAAATTATCCTTTTGTAATTGCAGAAAAGAAAAAATAACAGGCTAACATTTGGGGAATTACAGTACGAACAATAAATGTTATTCAAACAGTCCATTAAAATGTTAGATCGCTCAACAGCTTTACTTTAAAATTAACAATCGGTTGCTTCTAATTGGAAACGCTAAACGGTACGCTGTGACACGTGACGAAAACTTCCGTCGTAAAGTCTCTTCGGAAATTTAAATTTCACCGAGCAATCTGACCAGACGCGTGCTTGGTCGCACACTTTTAAATAACGGTCTGCACCCAGCTGTCCCCCATTTCGTTTGGATCTGTGCGTACAATAGGGGTCGTACCGACCCCTTGACGCTTTTGTGCGATGTCTAACTGCAGACGTTCTCGCGCGTATGCGTTTCGAGACAATAACACGAGGCACCGGTCGATCCGGAATACCAAGAGTTAGGATTATTGATAATGAGCCAGTGTGCCCACGCGTATCGATTTTATCGATTCATCTGGGTCTCTGAGGGCATCTGCAATCCCTTTGCTTCAACGAGACCACGCTTTGGTTGGTTTGTTGGTTTTCGCAAAGGAAAAAGTTGTTTCAAATCACCTCCCGAACCACCCATTTCAAGGAACTCCAACATTTTTGGGACACCCTGTATATAGGGATAGGGAAAAGTTACAAAGGTCCAAACACTTTATTAAAATAAATTATACAAGCTTACAATTAATTTGTGATTAAGAACTACTGAACTTTGTACGAAGATTGAAATAGTAAAACATGGAAGTATAGGAACACGATCATACGAACTTTTTTCGTTGTTTTCATGTCCCCAATCCACCACCGAAGTGGGTCACATATGATACACTCTGTCTATCACAATTGAAATTGTACAATAGATAACAGCGCAGCTATGGTAGGGCTAGAAATGCCTTACCGCTGAGTCGAATTCTTCTAATCTTTTTTTTCCTTCCTTGGCACCAAAGGTTCATGCATAATAATTTATTTAAATGTAGCGACGAATAAATCAATTACTATGTATGAATCTTTTGTACCAAAGAGCGATATGAGGAAATTGAAAACGTTTCTCGTCCTGGATCTGCTGGTAGACTCATCGGTAAGGCCTTTTATTAGACACATTTAATTGTGAGTGAAATTACTCGAATTCCAGTTTCAACGAAGCTTTGGTTTCAAGACTTTCTATAAAACAATATTATATTATAAAAGTGGGTGCAACTCGAAAACAAAGTTACATAGGGAACATGTTCACATGAACCTTCTTCGTTGCTTTAGTATCCCCCATCCGCCACTAAAGTGGGTTCCACATGTTAGGATCCATCCTTGAATGTACGAACCGTTGATCGAAAGCTTGTGGAAAACAACAACCGATCTGGAATTCTCTTCATCTGCTAGGTCTTTTTGATAGATTGACAACGGAGGTCGTTATAATATTCAGCATGCGAGTGTCATTATACGGGTGCTGCATATGCAAATAGACGATTACAAAAGCGTTTTCTTGCATTCGATAGAGATATATTTGGTGCCAATATTCCTCAAGAAATTAATTAACGAATTAGCATGCTCCTCCTTCCTGTAACTACAAAGATATAGTTACACGTATAATAGGTATGACCTCGGTCGATTTACTGTTAAAGAATCCTAAATTGTATTATGTTTCCAAAGTGACGCAACCTTTTAAAGACTCGTCGTTTTGGTCACAATGGCCGATCGAATTGTATCCACGATAATGGCTGTGAAAGAACGCGGATGAAGTGAATCACTCGCGAGCACACATGCTCGAGACAGTCATCACCGCGAGGAAGCATTTCACGCAGATGTCCAGTGCGGCGCGTGCCCCTGGATCCGGTGGTGGTGGAAATGCCTCTGTAGGCCCCCTTTTCACAAGGGGAGCTCGACCCCCACGCGTGTACATACGCACACACGAGATAGGGAACCGGGAGTCACACCTGGCCCTTAAAAATAGCATTGGCGTGATTTCGTGACGTCTCTCGTCGTGCACGCACTGGATCCCCAACGACCATGTAACGTGATAAATAATTGCATATAATTTACTGGTCACGTGGCACCGAGTAGAGTATTTTAGAGTATTTTGCTTGTTAGTTATTTTAAGTAAAACATTGCATTTATTCGTATCCATTGATGTTATAAACGATTATGTATATCAATAGCTATCATCTCAATAGTATTCTGATGTGATGAATATTAAGTAATTGTTTACAGAGGACATATATTTGTTTTTAATAAAGTATGAATAAACAGAATTGTAAGGGATTCGAAGGAACATCTTTATCTATTAATATTTCAAAAATATTTCTAGGCAGCCGATAATACTCTGTAGAATTTGAAAATTCTCATTTTTGTACTGTTAACGATATGCTTGGTCCAACGATATCAATCCAACTTCCTGCTGACGCCACTGCAAACTGCATCCCTTCTGTGGAGAATGCACCTAGTTACGCTTTGGCGGTTATGGATCACACATGCTGGGGTTGCTTTCTGGAGGTATGCACCCCGTGCGACAAAAGAGAAGGGGAGGAGCTCCTGTTTTCATACGAGTTGGCTTACGAGCACATGGGCGGGGAGGGAGCGCAACTTATGAGAGGAAGTCGGAAACGACCCGATCCGAGTCAGTCGTTCGCGAAGCGCCGATACGTTTGGATCGATCGATCCGAACAACGCATCTCAGTCTATCTATCGCAAACAGATCATCTGCAATCTCGGTGCAACGCAATCGTACACAAAGAATATGCTTTCATAATCGAAGTGACGAAGTGGGGAATCCTTAAGACCGTTGGATCCTTCGAGAATTTAAATTTGAAGATAAAATGGCTCCAGTGTGGATACTTATAAATTTTAATAATGTCGCAACGTTGAAGTGCACTTTAATGAAAATTTAAACTGATAAGGAAGCAACGAACTTGGAAATTCTATTTCAAAGGATTTAAAATTAAAAATTGGAGATAAAGCACCTCGAGCGTGGACATTTATAAATTTTAATAATTAGACTAACAGATCCTTCGAGTGCTTAAACTAAAATAAAATTACCGCAGTGTGTCAAAGTGTATTTCGAGACGAAATCAATCAAGAGAAACAATTAAATTTATATTCTGATATTTCTGTTGGTGTCGATCAAGTAAAAAAGATCCTGAACTTAATTCCATCGAAAGTGTTTTGGGCATCGAGGTGAAAAGCGATTGGATCTCCGTGGGGGTTGCGATGGACACCATAAGGTCCTCCATGCACGCGACCTGCGGGAGGGTCGTTTCGCTCTGCTGAATAGCGAAACCACCCTGGTGTGTCCTCACATTATTCCACGGCTCATCCTCGTCGTTACCGTTCGAAGAGCTCCGAAGGGGACTTTTAAAAACTCGTCCAACGGTGTCTTCGCCTTTAACGACCTCTCGTAAGTCCTAATCGTGACTGTGAAAGTGATCGTAAAAATGAGTGCGTTCAAGAGACACCAGAGCAAAGTGTTCTGGGACCACATGGCTTCCGAGGATTTGGGTACTGTGGATCCTTTCGCTGCTAGGAACGAACTAGCGAAGGACAAGAATTTTCGAAGGGAGTTCGCGATCCTCGAGGAGGAAGCTGAGGAAATATCGTCCAGTATCGATGAGAGTGACACGATCGACGGTGAAAATATCACTGCGATACACATTTGTCATGCGGAGGACGAGAATCGACAGTTTTCCGTGGCGTCGATCTGCGAGGGAAACGTAATGACTCAGACGTAAGTCATTGAAATCGTGACATTCAAATCGAGATGACGAACAGCGTTTGCGACGCGGTGATTTCGCCGAAAGCGTTCAGTCGTCTAGTTATCGAGCTTTTTTGTATCTCAGTGTGATATGTAATGCAGTTCGTCCATCATTTTCGGGAGACATCAATGCTTTCACTTTTACGCAGATTCAGACGGTGGGTTAGGTCTGTCATCAAATTAACAAGGATTATAGTTTATCTTTATTTTTGTTTTCAAACTATCAGACGATATGGTTTCTTGGCACTGATAGAGGCCCTCTCACGTTTCATTGCATACTTCACAAGCTCTCTTATTAACTTTAACGAATAATTATTTCACCTTTGACAAGACAATTTTCTAACAATTTTTGAAAATGCTTGTAGAGCCACGATGGACATAAAAGAAGACGAGGATAAGGAGGAAGACGACAATAACATCGGTTCGGAGAACAACATGGTGAACAGATCTTGCAGCCCAATGAGCCACGACCTCAGGAGTCTCGATTCTGGTTTCTCTGATTCCGAGCGATCGAATTGCTCGGAATTTTACGAGAACGAAACGCCAAGGCGTCATAGAAGACGGAGAAGGTTCAAGGATCGACGTCACGGTGTTCATTCGAGACTTGGTTCTGTCTGGTTGGAAGACGAAACTCTTCCAAATCCCACATTTACGTCGACGCCAAAGGGTTCCAGAATTTTGCCTAAAAATGCCTGTGGTACACAGAGGAGTACAGCAAGAATGCAAAGGTAATTTGAATTACAAAGACTTAATTGAAAGATAACACGATGAAAGAGGGTACGAATGATTCAGATCGTATGTAGTACTGTGGACTGATCTGATGCATGATAATATGTGAATATATTGATCACGTAATTAGATCATGAAATATAATATTAAACCATGTATTCTTGTGGAGCATTTTGGATATAGGAATTTAACTATTTAACGATATTATGACTGCTGTTGAAAAAAAAAAAATATTATTTCTTGACATATATAGTCTAACTCGGGGGATTAAGGTGTCCCGCGCCAAGCGGAAACGCAGTTATTATCTCTGAAACTAAGCCACACCTTGAAACAGTCGATAAGGTGCGACGAATGTATGTTTTAAGAACATGAATCGTCATGATTATGTCCCCCGTGGTGAGCCAAGCGATAGGAATGCAACGCGTAAATGTTTTTCTCCTGACGTTTCGTTAAGTCTGCCCCTATATGACAGTCGAACTTTGCGAGGGTGCATGCGCGCGCGAGTGGTCGTCATTCATCAGGCGCAGTGGAAGTAGCCGCAATTCGTCGTTAGGAATATTAAATTATTAAACGTTCGCGGACACACGTGTCGCGAGGAAGACAGCTCGAATCATAATTAATTTTATTTGACTTCGGTTCCGTATTTTACTTACTGCGCGTTTGCAGTTTGAGAACTGTGCCAGAGGCATGATGTACGATTGATTACGATGATACGTAATCGTTATGTGCATACTGTCAGTTATTAATTATTCAATGTCCACTATCCAAGTTGTTTGATGAATCTTTATTGAAAAATTTTTATTGAAAAGTTTTAATTTAAATTTGTAAAGTATTGATCGTGAGTTTTCGGAGAAAATTTTGCGTAGATAAATAGAATTCAAACAGAGCTCGACTAAACTTTTCAATTATAGAGAAACAGATGGACAAATATCTTTTTTATAGTAAATATAGATGGATACTTAAAAACATAAATCGATCATTTTTGTTAGATTTAAATTTGCAATGACTTGCACAATAGATCTCACAGTAAATATTCAAGGAAGCTGATCCTTGAAGGTTATACAACTCATGAACCTAACGAACGAAGCGCAAAGGAAAATTCCGTAGCATGTCGTCAATTAACATCGATTAATACACGTTCAAGAATCTATGACGCAAATTAAGCTTGATCTATACTAGCAGAGCAGCTGGTGATTTTACAATGATCTTACGAGGCGCTTTAAAAAGAAAAACAAACAATTTACATACCAGAGACATTTGCATATAGTTGGTGCTACAATGACAATTTGTTTGTGTGAAAAAAAATCAGGAGAAATACTTAGTATTTAATCGTTTAGTATTTCCCTCTTTAAGAGGGGTTAGGGATATTTAGAAATTTCAAATAGCATTCAATTTTGGTATTTTCTTGAACTACAACATCCCATGAGTATCTTCAGAAAATTTCAAGTTGATCCGCGAAAAAATGACGGGAGTTGCGACCCTCGAAATGTAAACATGTGTGAAACGCGAAAAACGCTTCCGTCCATCGATACGGATCCGCGATCGATGGCGCGCGATAGATCCTCCCGTCGTGGACATGAAGTGCGTTTTTTTTCCAACGCCCTGTAGAACTCACGCGCGCCAGGTACGTGATTCAATGCAACGTGCCACACGTGGAATACGTAAATGAAAGACAGACGACGAGAGGTTTGAGTCAACCGGCTTGAGGTCCCAAGCAACAGCGAACCTACCAACAATCCAAGCAGCCCGCGTATCGTGTGCAGGTGATCGCGTACAATCGGGCTTAGTCAAAGAAATAAGATGGGATTAGTCATCGTAGCCGTGAGAAAACGATTCCAGTTCCGGAGCTGACCGATTAGTCAGCGTTTGTCGTGTACCGTTCCGCGTCGATTTTCATTGTTACGGAAGGTACTCGTGTGCACCTGGTTATGCGGAGTGAAATTGGACAGTGGTCAGGCCTTAACTATGTCGCGGAGACGGTAGTCGGGACTCCTGTCTCGTTATGGCACGCCTCAGGTACCGTAAATTCCTAAATAGATAGTGGTCCTATCGGAGCTCCTAAGCTAGAGGTATTTTCGTCGAAAGAAAAAGTAGGGAATAACTTTGTAGGATGAAACCAAAACATTTAATATTATTCTATTAGATATTTCCTTATTCAGGAACTTTTTTCATTTTCTATTTACGAAGTATAGGGAGGGAATAAGAATGAGAATGAGAAATGAAATTTTATTTTTTGCTGAAAGGAGCACATCGAAATATAGAGCACCGATGTCGCAAGAAAATTGCTTAATAGAGTGGAGCAATTCGACCGATATTACCGATTTGTCGAACGCATATTTTTGGTGTTCACCAAATATTCGACCTTTGAAAAGAAAAGAAAATAAACTGCGCTTTAAATTAATTATTAAAAAACATTTGTTTCGCAGAACCGAAGACGACCAGGTAGATGCAACAGTAATTTCACCACCTGTTTCGATAGAGGATGAATGCTTGGGCGATTTCTTATACGCTGCTGAACCGCCCGAGGATGAGGCAGAGCCAAGAACCGCGAACTCCTCGATAACGACCAACGTCTCCGAGACAGAGCTGTTCTCCAAGTCTCTGCAGCACTCCAGAACGTACAGACAATCGTCTTCGGTTAGGGCATGGCTCGGTGATCTAGCAATAGACGCTGAGAACGAGTGCACGAATACTCTTCAGAGCAAACCTCTGCCACGAAGGAAGATCCGCGATTTCTTCTCTGAAAAGGACGAAATGAAGGATTTGAAGACACTGTCCTCCTTGGCCACCGCTGCAGCGAATAAACTGCTCATACGAGCGGATCAGTTTGATCGGAATTATCAATACATATTCGAGTAAGTGCTCTCGAATCGTTATTACAGAAATTATTACTTATTAATTATTATAAAATTATTATTTAGACTATTATATTTTTAACTATGTATATTCATTTATATTTTAGTAAAGTGGCGCATCTAGAGGGCGGCAGATCCGAGAAGGACCTTTTACGTGCCATCGAGGATGATGCTTTCTCTGTCCTTTCAGAGCTAGGTGCTCCGCCTCCGCGTAGAATTCAGCAAAGCAGCTTGAAAGGAATTTTGGCGCAGCTCGAAAGCATGAAAAACTACGTCGACGGCGCCGTGAATACTCGTCTGGACTTTTATATTGAAGTATGTGAAACTTCTTTACATTTCAATCTTCAGTTTGCAGCCTGAATCCTACAAATTTTCATTTAATGATAATTTTGAGTTAAATAAATTGACATCAATTTTCCTTTGCAGAAAGTGGTCAGAGGACTGGAAGAATCACCAAAGGATGACACGACGGTAGCCAGAGGTGCTCTGGCAGCTTTGACCGCTCTAGGGTTAGCAGGACCACGAGCAGGAAGCAGTGTCACCAGATGTTCTGGTATCAGAGCGCTCCTTACGTCTCTGATAACCGCAGGAAGAACGTCGAAAGACTTCGTCGCAGCTTCGTTGCGTGCCTTGGCGAGCGTGTGTTGTTCGTCCATAGCGATAGATCAATTCGTCAAAGACGGTGGTCCAGAGATATTAACGGACTTACTGGTCGCGGAAAATTCAACAGAGAAGGAGAAAATGGAAGCAACAGCGTTGGTTGTTCAGATAACAGCGCCGTGGGTCAACGCTTTGGGGCTACCATACTTGGAACCTTTCGTAAAGGATCTAATACCGCCCTTAAATCGTCTAGTCGAGAGTACCACTTGCGGACAGACTTTGTTATTGGTTGCAGCTGCATTCAACCACTTGTCCAAATCCAAAGTATGCGCGTCCGTGATATTGGAGCACGACACCGTGAAGAAGTTGTTGAAAAGCGTGAAGAAGTCGGCTGGCAGGAATGTTTGGCTGATGGAGCAGGTGGCTGCCCTCGTCAGCGAATTGGCACGCATCCCTGAAGCTAGAAAGCACTTGGCAGAGGCTCGTGCCTCCGTTGCGCTGGTCTCTTTCCTCAGAATGAGACCTCCTGGTCTAGAGGAAGCTTATAAACGTTTAGAAATTACAGCCGCGGCAGCGCTCACCAGGCTCTGCGTAGATCCAGAAATTGCAAGGCAGGTTGTCGCAATTGGTGGGGCTGATTGTCTTCCATCGTGTAAAGTCGATGATCTTCTGACGGAAGACGAAGAGCAGATCGAGGCTGGGTTGTTGAGGTATACCAAGTCCTTGAGAAGAGCGTGTAAAAGAGCGGCGAAAGAAATTGACATTGCTAAAGCCAGCGACTATAGCACCTTGAGCTAAGGCCAAAGTGTTTTGAAGTTGTATATATGTGACACATAATATCTTGCACTAGACTTCTTTTTTAAACTATTACAGTTTCTCTTGTGGATTCCCCCAGTACTTTCGCTTAAATGAATAGCCATCTAGCGGTGAACATACCGAACTACCGTCCGGAGTTTGGTCAGCGCCTCTATCGGGAAAACGCTCAAGTTTGTCGTCAAATAGTTCCTATTTGTACAGCTAGATGGTGCTATTAATATCTTTTTACCGACATAAGGTATACATTCATAATATTTACGAATTCAATTTTATTACTTTTATAATAATAAACTTGTAGTTATATCACAGACATTGCAACAATAAAAATTACCTAGGAAAATGTTTTTTTTTTTTTTTTTTTTTTATACAACTGTCGGTAAATACATTACAGTGGCACCATCTAACGTTGAAACCGTAAATTATTCCAAAACAAACGGACGTTTTCGAAAATAGTTCGGCATATTCATCGCTAGACGGCGACACTAATTCCTGCGGGAAATTTGAATGTATTTTTAATTAAATTAAAATTCATTAGCAACATTTGTAGATATTTATCGAAAGCACACGAGTTAATTAGTGCTTAACAACATTTTTAATAATATATAATAATAATGAACAATTCACTTGTACATAAAATATGACGTAATGATAACATGTAAATACATACTGCATACGTAAAAATATTGTATGAACATTTTTAAATCAGGTACGATTACGAAAGAAACAAACAATATTTGGAAAAATATTATATTTTATTGTATGATAGTTTTGTATTTATACGCACAGTGTATAATAAAAGTGTAAATAAAAACTAAATTACTTCATCGTTCAATTCTATACAAATCGTATAATGTCAATGATAAAAACACGTAAAAATATTTTGTTCACTTTTAATATAATATATTTATTTTGCTATATAATATTCTTGTCTAAGTCATTTCTGTGAAATATGTCTACAGTTGTTTCTAAACAAGGTCTCAGTTCAAGGTCACACACACCCAGTACAAATTTTCCATTAGGAGGTTTAAAATAATCTAAACCACGTCCTATTTTAATCATCCAACCATTACTGAGTCTAAAACAAAATTAAAACAGATAAAATGCATTGAAGTTCAATAAATATTATTCAATGTAAAAAAAGTATAGATTCTCTTACGATATTTGTCTATCATGTAGAGTATCAGAAAATGTAAATTCAAATCTAACTAGATGAGACATTAAGCTCTGCTTCAATTCTTCTAATCTTGCTACTTGATGCTGTTTATCATCTTCATCGAGAGTTGTGACTAAGGATATTGTGGATAATGCACGACACTTTTTAACAGCTAATTCGCATAATCTGACAAAGTTTTGACACTAAAAATTAATATTTGTTAGGAATAACAAAGTCAATTTTTTAATACATTATACTGTATGAATAAATTAGTACCTGATGAAATGCTCTTATGTATGGATCTTCAATCTGAATGTAAGTAACTGTTGCATCCAAAAATCTACCAAATACAGAAGCATAACTATTTCCTGTACTACCATTTTCAATCTTAATTATTTCCCTGTATGTTCCAGCTGCTTTTCTTTGATCAATTAAATCCTTCAACTTTTCTGCTCTACTTAAATACTCTGATGTCCGGTTAGCAAAGTGTTTCTGCTTAGTCGGGTTCTTTGTTTCTGCATTGTTTTATTACTAATTCTTCAACTAATTCATAAAATCGTAAAAATGATGTATGTAAAGTAATAGAATAAAGCACAAAAGGATTTAGTATATGTACGCAGTGTTTTAAAATGGGAAGAAACAATTGATATAATGTATGACAATTTAGATGTTAATATGTAAAATTGGTAGTATATCAGCTGAGCTGAATACCACATTGTGGTAAACAACAACAAAAATATGGGAATCTTTGTGATAAATGCATCAAATCTGGAATCTAAGTATAATGTTATGATAAGAAAGGTAATTCACTGATACAACACAGAAAAATATTAGATATGAGGAAAATAAAACATATACCTTTCATGGTATCAATAAGTATTTGAACACCTTCTTGATATAATACCAAGGCCATTGTATACTGTTCTTTCTTGTCCATTTCTACTGCACGTTGTAAAACTGTAGCAGCTGCACTTTCCATTATGTTTTTTCTATACAATGATTTTATATGTTTATCTAACACTGTCCTTACATTTAAGGAATATTTATATTTAAATGTGTCTCATATAAAGTTTTTAGTAAAATGTCTGTATTTTCAGAGTGTTTACAAATTCTATGCTCAGCTGTGATTTTTGTGTTACATAGATGGTGCTACTATTGACCTATTGGGTTACCCCTACAAGATATAGCATGACGCCATTCTTCTAATTTTTGTAAGCATTGGATGATTTAAATAGAAATGAAATTTATTTAAAAAATTTGTTTGTGTTTCACATAGAGAAAATATTATGAAATATATTCCTTAAAAAAAGAACTTCTAAAAAAATCATCATGATACAAAAATATTTTCGAACACATGTGAGACACCTTATATATTTAATTTTCGATTTTGAAGTTTAAATTTTACGTAATATGTACATACTTTATCTAATGTTCAAATGTTAGTTAAAGCTTCGTATCAATCATAATTTACTATTAAGTTTGACAACTTACTTGATATGCTTGATATTCATCGATAATCGTCGTAACTGTCAGAAACAAAATCTGATTTATAATTGTCAAGTGATCGTAGTATCATTGTATAGATACTTGGAATGTTATCAACTATCGAGATGGGAGAAAATGTGTCAATATGACATCACAAAAAGTAAAACGCGGTATCATACGCGCATGCGTTTTGTTTAAATTAAACGATTATACGATTCGCTGACCACGAGAACATTTGGACATGTTATGGTATGATTTTTATTCTTTGCATTTTAAGCGAGTTCGCAATAAAACAATAAAAATTCATTATCAGGGCCGTTATTGTACATGCGTATAAGTACATGAGTCATGTAATGGCGTGATGTGGGAACGTGGGAAAGCGACGAAATATGAACAGGGTAGCATTTGAATTCATTAGTTCAACCAGAATTCTTGATAATTAGGCATAATTACTTTACGAGATATCCATTTTGAGTCAAGAAGAAGTCATAATATTACAGTTTTAGATACTTAACTGAAGCTAGTGTCAGAATATATCACTTTGAACATGCAAGTTCAAGTTTAAGTTCAAGTTTGAGTTCTTTTTTTTAAAGCGTAGTCTGTAGTTCCCAGGTATTACACATATTTATTTGGATATGGATACTAAGTCTTTACTCTGCTTTGTGCGCCATGTTGGTTTCAATTTAGTAGCACTGGAGTGATCTGTCTACAAAACCGTGGACGTAAAACAGTATAATTATGGCGACCAAGATAATATGATTCTAACCTAAAAAATACTTATGTCAAGTCAAAGTGAATCGAACGAGATGTAATATTGACGAAAATTTTTATTCCGTTCACGTAAGATTCATCTACAGAGAACATTATTTTTTTAAATAATCCGTAAATAAGACAAATGTGAGAGCCAATTTAAAACGTACAATTTTCTGATTACAGGTTTTTAACCAAAATGCTTTGACGTTACACGACTGTTGTGCACATGAGATTTGTGTTGGTGTGCGGGCGCGGGATTTTTAATTGCAGAACAATATCTATTTTACTTGTACTGTCATATATGTTGTTCACTTTTAGTATTAATCATTACAATTACTAATTACTTTAATCTTTATTTCTAATTTGTTATAAATTCATGTAATGAAGTATCAAACATAAATGCTTGTTAAAAATCATGTGAAAAAAAAGCGATTGAAAATAAGATTAAATAAATAAAATAATCTAAGTTCATTTTTATATGTACTACACAATTGTGCATTTATAGTTCTTGCCATGAAATCTACTAAAAACATTGGAAGTGGTACCTTGTGGGGAGAATTACCAGCAAGAGAAACTCTCAAGCCGGAAGTTATAACTCCAGATATTATAGAAAATGTCTGGAGGCAAGTTATGGAAGAATTGAATAATGTAGATTGTGATTTTCAAATTGATAGGCAACCTGAATATATACAGTAAGATTATTTATTATTTTAATGTGAAAATAAGTTTTATGTAATCTTGTACAGTATTATTTATTTATAGGCTACCTGTGGGAAATCTTCATGTCTTGAACACTATAAACTTTCATCAACAACTGAGGATGATGGTAGTATTATATAAAATAATTATCAGAATTTTATATTTCCTTGATACTGCATATATTTTTAGGAGGAAGGAATGGTGTTGGGAAATATGACTACAATTGAGGCACAAGACTTACAAGATGTGAAAGAGTCAGAAAACTCATTTCATTTTTTACCTGTACAGAAAGAAAGGTATCAAAACTTATAAATGTACATAACATTTTCTATTTACACAATTATAAATACATTGTATTTCTTTAGAACTGCATTCAAAGATTCTTCTACAGTGCATTATCTCACACCAGAAACAGCACGTTCCATATTGAGACATGCAGTCATTATTCTTTTGGCTCACATTGGATTTGAAAAATCATCGGATATAGCTATAGAAACGCTTGCAGATATCGCGGATCATTTTCTGAGAAGAATGACGCTTTTAATGAAAGTAGCATACGAACAAAGAGATCATGGCTTTCCCGTAAGCTAAAGTCCATTAAAAACTATTTTTTATTACTAACGACTTTATTATTTAATATTTAATTTTCATAGGATATAGTGGAGAGGGTTTTATTGGAAACAGGCGTTGGCGGGGTGGCTGCGCTTCATGACTACTACCAGGAATATGTCTTGAAGTTTGAAGGAAACATGAAAAAGAAGGTTGAAGCCATGATGGAAAAACAGAGGCAACTTAAATTTAATGCTTGTAGTTCTAAGTATTTAATCACACTGAAACAGCTGTGATATTTAAAACAAAGAACATTCCATTTCTGTCAATGCTCCCTCAATTTTTAGAATGGTCTTAGACGAAGCTGCCAATAAACTGCAATTCGAAGAACTTGATGAATTCGGTAATGTCTATCGAGAGGTACCGACTCTTCAATTGCTGGATCCTGAAATGGGTTTCCCTCCTAGTCTTGACGCTGGTTTTCAAATGTTATACAGTCTTGAACAAGACGAGTAAGTTATTTGTGAAAATACTATTTTTAATAAACAGCATTGTAACGTAAGTGGTTGCAGGTTAAACAGCTTGGAGGTAGAAGAAGAAGAAGTGAATGTTAGTGATTCTCCGAGTACTGGACAACGATCAGACACGTCAATAGATAAAAAAAAATGTTGAGATAATCGTACAATTATAATTTTGCTTTC